CTCAAGCACTACGCTGCCAAGGTACAGTCCTTCGCCCCCGAACAAAACTCGATCACGCTCAGCAACGGTGACAGGGTCGCCTACGACCAGCTCGTGGTTGTGCCCGGTCTCAGCATCAACTACGACGCCATCAAGGGCCTGCCCGATGCCCTCGCCAACCCTGACTCGCTCGTCTCCACCATCTACGGCTACGACACTTGCGACAAGGTGTTTGACACCATTGCCAAGCTCAAGTCGGGCAAGGCCATCTTCACTCAGCCCGCCGGCGTGATCAAGTGTGCTGGTGCGCCGCAGAAGGCCATGTGGCTTGCACTCGACCACTGGAAGAAGCAGGGCCTCTACAACCCCGCCAGCTCCGCCGATGGCGCCATCCAGATCGACTTTGCTACCGGTCTTCCCGTCATGTTTGGTGTACCAAAGTACAGCGAACGTCTTAATGCTCTGCGTCAGGAGCGTGGTGTTGAGGGTCTTTTTGAGCACGACCTAGTTGCCATTGAGGGCAACACCGCCGTATTTGCCCGTCCCAACGGCCAGGAGCAGGTCAAACGCCAATTCGACCTTCTCCACGTCACCCCCAAGATGGGTCCTCTCGCCGTGATCAAGGAGAGCCCGCTCGCTGATGGCGCTGGCTTTGTCGATGTCGACCAGGCAACCACCCGACACAAGCGCTTCGACAACGTGTGGAGTATCGGCGATGCATCTTCCCTGCCGACGTCCAAGACCGCTGCCGCCATCACTGCCGAGGCTCCCGTCCTGGTCCGCAACCTCGGCCAGGCACTCGAGGGCAAGGAGCCCGATGCGGCGTACGACGGTTACACCTCTTGCCCCCTGCTCACCGAGTACGGCAAGGTGATGCTTGCCGAATTTCAGTACGGTGGAAAGCCCAAGGAGACATTTGGCAACCTGTTTGGCATTGACCAGGGTACGCCCCGAACTGCCTTCTACCACCTCAAGAAGGACTTCTTCCCCTGGGTCTACTACAACGCGTACGTCAAGGGCACCTGGGCCGGTCCAAAGGGCTTCTCGTTTGGCGCTGCACCCATCAGCCCCAATGCGGTTGCTCAGTCGGGCTCGTCTTCGCGTTCGTTCTCAACCCGGGCTGGTCCGTCTTCGACCTTTGGCTCTTCTCGAAGACAGTTCTCGACGTCTTCGGTCGGCCTGCGAAACACTCCTGCCCGCCGACCTCGTGATCCTCTGGACGCTAGCTCCGATGCCGTCAAGCACACGCTCAGTACCGGTGAGACATTCATCGTTCGACCGCCACCAACTGCTCCGCCATCAGCCTCGACGATCTACCAGCCCCAGCCTCTCTTGAACGCGCAGTCTCTCGGCTCTGTGGACGAGTCCTCGTTGCCACCAGCCATCAACCCGCGTTCGAGTCCGACTGCCCCCATCACACAGGCTCAAATCGCCGAGATCCAACGTCTCCGCAAGCAAGACCCGATCAAGAACACCAAGTCGAAACTCGCCAAGATGTTTAACTGCTCACCAACCTTTATCTCGATCGTTGCGCCACTTCCAAAGGCGGTGAGACAGGCAAAACAGGCCCAGCAGGAACAGCAGAAGCTCTCGTGGGGCCTCAACAAGCGCGTTGCTCGTGCTGAGCGCGAGGAACGTCGTCTCCTCTGGTGATTCCCTCCGTTGCCCGCTTGTACTTTCTTGGTTGCCCTTTTGTAACATATTACGCTCACCTTGTTTTATCTTACTAGCATGAACGGATAGAAACCCAAACAAGATTTTGGCCTGTGATTTTTTGTTTTATATTATTTTTTTGTAATAGAGCGAGGAAGTGTGTTCCCTCGAGACTCGATGTGTTTCGTGTTAACCCGCATCCGGGAGGCAGATTGCGGTAGGACAGTCATCGCCGACATAGATCTAGTAGTCTTGAGACAATTGAACTTGTATTGAGTTGCCATCTAGGTTGTGATTACAAGGGACTGAGAATCTCCATGACGGGTCGTGGAGAAGCTATGTGTATATCCTCGTGGCTGGAAGGTGGAACAGAGATTAGTTCTTGCGACCCAGTCCAGGCAAAGCAAAGACTGTAGTGTGGGTTGCAAAGGCACGAGGAGGAGCGACGAGAAAGGATCAGTCTCGGTATTCTGCTATGTCAAGGACGTCGCTGGGCGGATACAAGTCGGCAGTACGTGGCGGGCGAAGTGGACAGACACTTACATTCAAACACCTTTTCAGCCGGGATGGCGTCACCACGCCGTCCTTCGAGGGGGCTCATCTTGTGACCGCGAACGATGCCGACGACGCTGCCGGTCTCGATGTCTACGACGGGGCCACCCGACGATCCAGGGGGAGGGAAGTTGGGCAGGGGCTGGCGGGTCTTTGTCTGCAGCTGTGTCGAGTTTGTGCCTGCTGAGCCGGTGGAAGTTGCGGCGGAAGCCGACGCCGATGCAGATGCTGCACCGAGTATCGAGCTCTGCTGGGACGCAGAGACGGTGGAAGACATGCGCAGACCGTAGTCGCCCTGCAGAGCAGGTGGATTGGCGGGCGACGAGACCAGCAGCTTGTAGTCTAGCTGCGCCAGCTCGTCGTAGGTCCCCACCATTGCAGCTGCGCCACACGGGTCTTTGTATTCTACCAGTCTGGCTCGTCCCCACCGACTGCGCCCTGCATCGTCACGTTCCAGCTTCACCGCCTCCCTCTCGCGACCGGCTGGCGGGGCTGGTGCGTCGCAAACGACGAGTGCCTGACGATCCGGGTCAAACGAGTACGCGGGCAGAATGGCTCCCGAGTCGTCCTCCCAACCCCAGAACGAGGACACAGAGAGCTCGCTATTGACGTGTGCCGGGTACGGCGAGACTGGCAGCGTGCGGATCGGTCGCTGCTCGGAACCGCTTCCGTTGAGACTCAACGACTGCTCGCCAAGCTGCAGCAGCACAATGTCCGAGGTTGGCAGGCTGCTGATCAGGTTGCGCACCGGCCAGATCGCGCCGGTCCTCGTAATAGCGAGTGCGATGGTATCGGATGCTGACTGGGAGCCGCTGCTATTGCTGCCGCTCTTTTCCGTAGTGGGCTGCTTGGATGGGCCTGAAGCGCGAAGTGTGTGGGCACAGGTGATGATCAGCGGACCACGTCCATCGCCATCATCCGCAGCGATCTGCTCGCCTCCTTGGACCGCAAAGCCCGAGCAGACACTGATACGTTCCTGTCCGCGGCCCGCTCCGAGATGAGAGACATAGGCGAGCAGCAGCACGCCGTCGTCCTTGGCCGATTCCAGCTCCTCTTCGGAACTCGCGGCTGATGTGAGTGGCACGCGGCGGTCTGCCGTGGGTGTGGGTTCGTAGGGAAGTTCGATCGAAAGTTGAAAGTTGGCCCTCTGCTCAAATCGCTGCAACAGGCCGTCGATGGTGGCAGCCCGGTAGGTGTCGGCTGCTGCCGAGGAGCCGGGTCGGGGATTGGTGGCGGCGGCATGCAGCGCGCGGGCAGCTGCAAGGATGCGCTCGTCGAGCTCGTTGCGACCGTGGAGCGCATCGATGGGATGAGGATGCTCCCGATCGACAATGTGTTTGCTCTCCTCAATCTCGCGGAACGGCCGCTTGAACATCTCTTCCAGCATCTCGTCGCGCGATGGAATCGGTATTCCCTTGCGCTCTGCTCCGATAGCAGTGCCCTTGATGCGTTGCACTTCGGCATGGCTGCCTCGCTCGCCCGTGCGGGAAGAAGACCTGCCCTTGCCCCCAGGGGACGAGGCCGAAGACGGCCGCAGCAGATCGGAAAGGTCGTTAGGATTGTTGCGGCGGTAGGTGGATGAGCCAGACTGGCGGTCGGGCATGCTGCCGTATTCTTCACCCTCGCGGGGCGGCGGCGGGACCGAGGTGCCCAGCAGCGCATCGACCGAGCTGGACGGATTGACGGGAACAGCCAGGGCTCGCCTCTGGGATAGTAGGATCTGCGATGTTGGACCGCGTGATGCGGTACCGCCGATCCGAAGTCGGACGCCTCTCGAGTACATTGTGATACTCTTGACAGCAAAAAGGGGCGACGAGGACTATGGTGGACGGTGCTGCCGAGGCCTGAGATAGGTTTTTGCAACGGCGTTGCGATGAATGTTGCTGTGAAGATGGACGATTGGAAGAGGGCAGGCGACACAAGCGAGTAGGGGACGATTGGGGTGATGTAGTGTTGGGTGGTGGCAGCAAGGGTCTTGTTTAGCTGATGATAAGCAGGACTCACTGCTCCGATGGCGGGGTGTCACTCGATAGTGTTTCAATCACCCCACCTCAGGTGGAAATAAGCTCATGCACACGCAAGCTCTGACGCGCTCTACTACCGTAGTACTGTACTGTAGTACTGCTACTGCAGTACATAGCACCTTGCTCAAATCACGCGTTCAGGCCCCTGCTCCAATCGCACGACCTGTCGTAGGTCCACCATCGCAAGTTGACGCGAGAGTACGTGTGACTGGGTGATGTGCATGCTGTGCAGGCTGGCAGGATCTTGGCGACGCAAGTCGGACTGAGCGGAGTGGTGCAGGCCGAATGCGCTTAGGCTGATGGCGAGTCAGACTAGAGATGTGGAGGCTTGCGGCCGTTTCTCACACGCATTCTGACCTGCGCGGTGCGGCCGTAGTCGGACTGGCCATGCTTTGTATCTCCCAAAGCCCTGCTGATCCTTGCGAGTGTGCCGCGCCCAACGATTGCCAGCGTGCTTTGTCTTGGTCCCGCCGTGAAGCTGCATCTCATTTTGTAGCCCCGCAGGCGCTCAATAATACGACGAACTGCTGTTGGATTGTACACGCTGCAGGTGACCTGCATCCTTATCAGATTAGACCAACCTGCAATTCTTGTCGATTGGCTGCTACTCGTTCGAATAAGTGCATCTCAAGAATATGCACATTGTATAGAGCCTCTGCAAATAGTCGCAGGAATCCACTGGTTCAAGTGGATGCAGTACTCTGGACACACAGGCAAAAAGAGAACATGTAAGACTTGGAACGACGAAGGGGGAAAAAGAGAAAACTAAAAATAAATCATGGGAATAACCACGGGCCGCTACGAGGATCGAACTCGTGACCTCTTGCATTCTGGAAGACTTAACCCAAAGCAAGCGCGATACCTCTACGCCAAGCGGCCTTACAATGTACCACAGCAAGATCAGTGTGAATATATAATTTTGTCATGCCTCATCACATCCTGTAAGTTTTTTCGATTTCCGAAGGACAGTTGCAGGCGCGACCCCACTGCTGTTTGCCTGCCTATGCACTTGTCTGCCTGTCAGCTGCACGATGATGATTCATCTCTTAAAGCGGCAGTCCACCGGTGACATCCAATTCGGCAACACCGACGACAACGCGCAGATGTCGCGAACAGTCATAATCGAACGACATCGACTTGTCCGTATCCCCTCTGGCCCTGCCGCCACTGAGACAAGCTGCCGAGCGACCCTGACTGCCATTGATCCCTCTCTGATGTGTAGCCGTACTTCTACATCCGCTCAGAGGTGATGCAGCAAAGTGACTACAGCCCAGTTCTGTTTGCTGTACTGATGAGGGTAGGAGAGCGAGACCCTGGCTACACTTCTACTACAGGGCCACTGGAGTGGCCGCTTCCTCCACATGCGCTTCTGTAGTCCTGGTGCACCTGCACCCTTCGCCGGATACTGTAGCTCACCGTCCACATGCCAGTCGACTGACTAGTCCTTCTCGTCGGCTCTCCCTGGGCTCCCTTCTGCCTTGTCTTGTCTCGGCTGCTTTGGCTGAGTGAGTGATTGGAGTTCTTCCCATCAGGCTTCACTCTTTGTCTCACTCTTTCCTTCCATCTCTTCAACTCTCAGCTTCGATCGTCCTGCTGGCGTCCGACGTGCGAGCATCTTCCTTCATACCGACTTCAGGCGTGGTATCGTTCCAATCCTTCGAAAACACGTTGTGAGAAGCTATCTGCTACTTGCTCCCGCTTCGTTCTGAAACGTGATCATGTCGGATCCGACTTCGGATTCAAGACCTGTTCCCGCACCTCCGGTAGCGGGAACCTCAGCAGCAACAGTCGAGCCGGTACCCGACCCTGACCAGATCGCTGCAGGTACTCCGGCAAGTGCTGCACCCGTTGCCCCGGGAAAAAGCGTACAAGGCTCGGACGACCCCACTGGTGAAGCTGGTCAGTTTGCCGACAGGTCCAAGGTCCCTGGTCCCGCCTCAGTCCTTGATCACACCGCCCATCTTGACGAGGTCCCCAAGGCCGATATCGTACCTGAGCGAATCACCGAACTTAAGGGTACCCACGATGAGGTACCAGCAACGGCCCCTGGCGACCCCGATCGAGCCCTTGAGCCCGAGATCGACGACCTAGGTTGGAGCGAGGAGCCCAACATCCCCATTCCTGTCCTCCACGGCATGAAGAACGAGTCCCTCTGGGTGCTTGTTCGTCGATTCAACAAGCAGACCTACCGCGTCCGAGCACTCAAGCAGGAGGACCATGGGCAGAGCCAAGAGGCCGTCACCGCCGCCGCAGGAAAGCGCAAGAAGAGCAGGAAGGGTAAGAAGCTCCACAAAAAGGGCGACCTCGACATGTACACCTCCAACAAGGAGGAATTCGCCCCCGACAAGCTCAAGGCTACTTTTGAGCGCTTCTACATCAACGTCGTTGTCGGCTTCGTGGCCTTCATCAAGCACATTGCTCGCATCCGCTCGTGGACCGAGCCTCGACGCACTGCCGGCTTCCTGGCCGTCTACATGGCTGCCTGGATTCTGGATCTCCTTGTTCCCGTGCTCCTTACATTGACCATGGTTTTGATTCTGTCTCCCCGAGCCCGAGTCCTGCTCTTCCCTCCCGCGCCTATTGCTGCCATCGATGCCAAGACCGGTCAGGCAAAGGTGCCAACTGCCGGTCATCTCGGCAGCAAATCGAGCTTGACGGGTGCCGCCGAAGCCTACGAGGGCGAGGCTGTCGAGCAGGAGGCAACAAACTTTGTGGGAGCGCTCGGCAGCGTTGCTCTTAGTACTGCGGCCGGAAAGAGCGCTCCCGAATCATCCATCAACGATGAGGACGATGATGAGGACGAAGACGACGACACCGATCATGAAGCTCGCAAAGCCGTTCTGGGCACAGGCTCAAGTACCAAGAAGAAGACGGCCGAGGACAAGATTCCAGACCCGACCAACGTTGCTGCTGTCTCTAACGCGGCACAGAGCAAAGCTGCAGGCGAGAAGGCTGGACAGCCGGAGAAGGGTGATCACACCAAGAAGCCTATGGAGGATGCCATCTTTTCCAAGCTTGCCCCTTTTATGCACGTCCTCAATAACATCTGTGACGACTACGAGCGCTTTGGAAATGCGCTTTCCCCAACGCCACCCTTTTCGCGTTGGTTGCCACGATATCGACTCGCCGGTGTTGTGATGCCGCTCTTGCTGGCGTCGTTGTATGTCAACGAGACGATGATCTACAAGGGTACTACTTTTGGACTTGGCTTCGCACTCTTTGCGCAGCCGCTGATCGACCGCGTCAAGTTCCCGCAGGTGATGGAATGGCTCGATCAAAACGTGCCCGAGTGGAAAAAGTACATTGAGCTGCGATATTTGCTGCTGCGCGGTGTGCCGACCAATGCGCAGCTTACTGTCACGCTGCTCCGCATTGGCGAAGCCAACAAGGCGCCACTGCCTCCACCGCCGCCTACCGTCATTGCTCCACCTCCGTCTGCTCTGCATGGCTCAGACATGGCCGACCATCCGGACCTGCCGCCCGAGTACGCCGAGCAGCTTGCCGAGGCGCAGGCACAGGACGTCAGCAGCCGACCCGAGGGCGAGGATGCATCTGCCACCGACCCCAAGGCGGGCAAGCGCAAGAGCAAGATCCTCGGCATCCTCAAGGGCGTCACTGCCGCTGGTGTCGAGACCGCTCTCGGTGTCAACCGAGTCAAGGCGACCACAATTCAATCGATGCATGCAAAGGCCAAGCTCGGTGTCGTGCGATCCGAAAAGGCGGCTGAAAAGTACGCCTCGGACGGGCCGACCTGCTTCCAGGCCCGACACAAGGGCAAGAAGGGAAACGTGTACATTGTCACGACTGCCGCAAGCCCTCTGATCGCGTTCGAGAACAAGGGCACCTCGAGCCCTGTGAAGGCAGCCGCGGCCGCCAGTGCAGGAGGAACATCTGGTGCAACCGCCGCCGAAATCGCCCAGCGACTAGTCAGTCAAAAATCGGCATCCTTTGCCATCGCCATCGACGACATCCGCGAAATTCGCAAGGTCGGCGGTCTCGGCTGGAAAGGCAAACTCATCGTCGGGTGGGCCCTGGGCTCTGAAGTCGCGGATGGAATCGAGATTCTCGACTCGCAGGGCACCGTTCACAAGCTTACCGCCATGGGCCGCCGCGACGAAGTCTTTAACCGCCTCATCTCGCTCGGCAGCCAGAAATGGGAGACTTTCTAGTCCGATCTGTCCTTCTCGACGTGGCATGTACACATTTCGCACATCTGCATGCAACTCTGTAGCATATTCCAAGCGTAAGACGGATGATTTTCAATCCGCATTGCACTGACTCGTAACCCGAGCATGAGAAAGGCCTGTTTCGTTTGCATTTTGGATCGTTGGAGCTGTGCGTCAACTCGCGTTTCCGCCGCCAGCGCCCCAGTCCCAGAGCCATTCGTCGAGGTCGAACTTGACGCGTCTTGCAAGGACGGAAGCGACATTGTATCCGACATTGGTACGAAAGTTGATGCTGGTTCCAAGCTTGTCCTGCGCCGAGGTTCTGACCAGCATTCTCCGCGCCACGAGATTGTTGATCTGGGAGTAGACCGAAAGACTCTTGCTGCGGTATTCCCAGACACTTGACCGGGCGTTGGGTGGGATTCCGCCCGAGCTTGCCATCGCTCGACCATTCATACCTGTGCCGTTGTTAAAGTCCACGGAGTCCGGTCCTTCCGAGCTGGAAGAGATAGGGATTTGAGAGGCATACACCATCGACATTTCAGGCGCGGATTCGGTGACCAGGGCCTGGAAAACCGACAAAAGTCGATCTATTGGAAAAGGCCGGGGTCCCAGCAGCTGCTGTCGGTTGAGGTTCTCCGTCTGTCCATCCTCGGTCGTGACTCGGAGCGCCGATTTGGAAGGACGTCCACGACGACCGGCACCTTTCCCAGCAGCACCGCCCTTTCGACCCCTTCCCGGTCCAAGCTTTCGTCCACCTTTTAGGCTTCTGCCCTTCGAAGCACCACTGGAAAGTCCCAGCAGCGACTCGTCGCGCAAAAAGTAGCGGACATCCAGCCGAGATGGGTTGTAAGAGGCCAGGAACGAGGCCAGAACCAAGAAAGTGGGAATGAGCGCCAACGAGGGCGTCAGAGAGATGCTGGCCTGTGACGACGCGGATCGAAGCTTGTCTAACGCCCGTGTCTCGCGCTCGAGCCATTCTTCTTCGTCTAGCTTTTGCTCTTCGTCGACCATGTCTATATCGAGAGATTCGGCAGCTGATGCTTCCATCGTGCTGGTGCTGCCATTTTTTAACAGCTTGGCCGCTGCAGCGAGTCGAGTTTTGCTGGCCTCGATGCTCTTGGCTCGGGATTCTAGGGTCCACTCTCGCGGACCCACTTCTCTCGTTTGCAGCCGGACCACAACATCACGAAAGAGGCTCGAAGCGGCTAGCAGAAGCGTCTGCAGATCGTGCGTCGAGCACTCTCTGGTCTGAACTGGCACGACAAACGAGTGCCAGACTGCGGCGCTCATGGTTCTGAGCTCCTCGAGATCGCGGACGTTGGAGCGAATCGAGTCGTAAAAGAGTCCAGAGAACTGTTCGTATAGCTGACGAAGGGCTTCTTGCGAGACTTTTTCGCCACTTGCAGCTGTTCTGAGCTTGGCCGCAATAGATCGAGAGCAGAGGCCTGGTGAAGTGGCCGCCTGGATCTGCGCCGACCCGGTCGAGGCCTCATACGATCTCCAGAGGCCGGGAAAGTCGAGGGAGAGAATCGACAGGATGTCTGGCCGCGTGAGGCGGGGAAAGCGGATTGAAAGGGGCTGATAAGCTACTGTCAGTCCACTGGGCGTCCGATATTGGGACCATGGCAGAGTCGAGATGAAGGCGACGCAGACGCGTCCTTGGCTGTGAAGTAGAGAGCCGAGTCGGCAGAAGGACGTCCATACATGCTC